TTGACATACACACCTCTTCAACAAGTAACATCTTAGCAGTCTTGAGTTGGTGCTAAACATGTAGACAGCTATGTTCAGACAGCTTTATACTGTGGATATTGGGATTAAGCATTTGGGGAGAGGCTTTGTCTTCCAGAAAACTATAACATCAATTAAAAATAGCTCCAAACAGCCTGCATGGGACCAACCAAGGCACTCTGCATGTGTGTGACAGTTGTGTAGCTTGGTCTGTTTGTAAGACTCCTAGCAGTGAGATCAGGACCTGTCCCTGGAGCTCAGCTGGATTTTGGGAACCTGTTCCCCATGCTAGATTACCTCGTCCAGCATTGATGCAGGGGGAGGAGCTCAGTCCTGCCTCAACTTGATGTCCCATGCTTTGCTCAAGCCCATGGGAGGCCTTTCCCTTTCTGAATGGAGATGGAGGAGGAGTGGATGGGAAGGGGCCTAGGTGGGAGGTGGTGGGGGCAGATGGGGAGGGAATGAGAGGAGAAGAGAGAGGGAAAACTGGTCAGTATGTAAAATAAATGAAAAAAATATTAATTAAAAAAATAGCTCCAAACAACACACTGTGCTGACAGCCAGGCTGGGTACTTGGTTTAGGAGGCTCTTGAGTCTCCTTGTCTCTGAACTTCTGAGAATGTGAGAGCAAAGCTATGGGGGCTGGGCTACTGTGGGATGGTCTGTATGTCAAATGTGTTGCTGATTGGTCAATAAATAAATCACTGATTGGCCATTGGCTAGGCAGGAAGTATAGGCGGGACAAGGAGGAGAATAGAGCTGGGAAGTGGAAGGCTGAAGGGGGACACTGCCAGCCGCCATGAGGACAAGGAAGATGTAAAGTACCGGTAAGCCACAAGCCACGTGGCAAGGTATAGATTAATAGAAATGGATTAATTTAAGCTGTAAGAACAGTTAGCAACAAATGGCGTCCAACGTGGTGGCAAGAGTTTCCACCTAAAACCTGAAAAAAAAGATTCTAAAACGGAGCTAAAAACAGCTTCCTAATTGTCTCTCTCAAATGAGCGGCAGCTGCCGGTTTGAGCTACTGGCGGGTTGCTGGCGTGCACGCTCCACCTGCAGTATGGCGGGAATGAGGCCTCTGCAAGTGGCACATTAAGCTACATTGTGCATTTAGCCTTTGCTGGTACAAAACAAAAAAAGAGGTTTCTGGGCTACATGCTGCTTGGATAAAAGCATAGACCCACGATAGCTCCCAGAGCTGGCGGTAAGCATACTGCCGCCATGTTGGGAAGCTGAGGTGGGCGGAGCCAGCAGCCACAGCTGCTACAGCTTAAAGCAACAGATTCATAATAAGACAGATTCAGATGTAATAGTTTAAAATGTGTGTAAAATATACGTAGGCTTAAAAGAGACAAAAAAAAGGTGATATATACAGTATAGAAACAAATACATGGTTTTAAAAAAAAAATAAAGTCTTTAAAGAGACAGTAAAATTAATATAAAAAATAAGCCACGTAGAGATGACTATTACACAGAGAGTCTGGATTGTGTTGTCTTTGGGATTCTTAACTACAGAGAGATATTTGATTGTAAAGGAAGCTGAGTTAAACCAGTATGTATATTTTAAAGATACTTTGACTTCAAAATTTGGATGTAAGGATATGTTGCTTTGGAAAAGAGTCTCTTTTGTTTCCACAGAAAGCGAGAGGCTATGGATTTGTTCCAGAGTAAGATACATCAGGTTTGACCAGCCAAGACCCCCTGAAAGGTCTCCGATGACACCATGGCCCAGATGATCCAACATCCAGAACCGTTTCAAGACAACTGGCTCAGATGATACAGCCTCACGGACTACTCCATGATCCTAAAATTTTCTTTGTTTCCCCAGAAGATACAGCGCCCCCCTCCAGCAGGAAGTAGTAAGAGAAGTTACGCCCAAATTCCCAAATATACCAAGCTGACTTTGGAGATGTATAAAGGTTAAAACCTTCCTTTTTAAGAAAAGAAAAGGGGAAGTACTGTGGGATGGTCTGTATGTCAAATGTGTTGCTGATTGGTCAATAAATAAATCACTGATTGGCCATTGGCTAGGCAGGAAGTATAGGCGGGACAAGGAGGAGAATAGAGCTGGGAAGTGGAAGGCTGAAGGGGGACACTGCCAGCCGCCATGAGGACAAGGAAGATGTAAAGTACCGGTAAGCCACAAGCCACGTGGCAAGGTATAGATTAATAGAAATGGATTAATTTAAGCAGTAAGAACAGTTAGCAAGAAGCCTAAGAACAGTTAGCAAGAAGCCTGCCACGGCCATACAGTTTGTAACCAAAATAAGTCTCTGTGTTTACTTGATCGGGTTTGAGCGGCTTGGGACTGGCGGGTGAGAGAGATTTGTCCTGACTGTGGGCCAGGCAGAAAAACTCTAGCAACACTGGGCCTTAGCTGGTGCCTTTGTGCTCTGACAGGCACCTGCAGAGACTTCAGAACTAGGGACTGTTGGGACCTCAGTGAGAGCAGAGGCTGCATGTCTCTCTAAAGCTTAGAATGAGAGGAAAGGGAAGGGACATTAGGACTCCAGCTTTGTCTCCCCTGGGAAGCCATGGGCTGGTAAACACTGTTCGTTCACCCTGTGGTCAGGCTGAAGGTTGCAGAGCTGTCAAAAGTTGAGTAAATATTGGCAGTCACAACCAGATTCATGGTATTTGTGTATTTGAGCATAGATACAATTCCTAGTGTTTGGCTTCAGATAAGCCTCTCATGTCTCATCATGGATTAATTTATTAAGCTTACAGATTTTCAATACGAATCCTGTTGAACACTTCCTAAGACAGCAAACTCTATCTTTTATCAGACATTGTCCATTGTCAAATAAATTACACTGAAGGGCAAAGTGGTGTTTAAAATGCAATAAATTCCCAACCTCTTCCTCCCATATCAATCACACTTCAGGGGTAGCTACTCTCTGCTGCCCAAGGGATCCTGCACCAGCTCTGTCAGTAACACCAAGCAGGTCCGTATTGACAAGAGAGAAACTGCCATGGTGCTGTCCCCAGAACATTCAGAGTCCCATTTGCTTAGCTACAGAAACTATAAGCCAGGACCCCGGCTGCCCGCCAACCCTGGAGCTGAACTGCAAGGAAGAGTGGACTTCAAACAGTCAAAACCAGTCTCCACAGCTCTCGGTGCTCTGTTGTTTAAATCTGCGTCCCGCAGTGGGACCCTTCCGAGACCTTCCCTGTGCTTTCTTTTCATTTTGCCTTTTGGCCTTTTTGAGGTAATTCATTTGTTAAATCATGAAATCAAACGGAAGATTCTAAACAATAATAGCCCATCACAAAAATTCAGCCACCACTTTTGGTGGTGTTAATATCTACAAAGGGTTTCTGTTCTTACGTTCTTTCTACCTCCTCTCCACCATGTTCCTTGAGTCTTAGGGCAGGTAGGATTGATACAGGACTCCCAGCTGCAGCCAATCACTTAGAGTCATGTATCCAGCATTATTCAATTTATGTCTCCACATTAATCCACGGTAATAAGAAGCTTCCCTGACAGAGGCTGGGAACAGCAAAAATCTAGGGTTAGAACTATTAATATTTAGAAGGCAGTTTGATAACCTGAACATGCACATGCACACATACTCACATACACACCCCTCACCACACACAGGAGCATGCTTGGTGTATACATACATATGTGTATATATGTACACAGGTGTCATATTTTATAATGTGTGTGTGTGTATATATATATATATATATATATATATATATATATAGAGAGAGAGAGAGAGAGAGAGAGAGAGAGATTTTAGCACTGTATCTCAAACATGCTTGGTGTGCTCAATATGAAATGATTTTACAAATAAAAAAAAACAGACTTTTAGAATTAGAACTAAATACCTTGAATCAATAGGAAGTACAGTATCAGAGTATCAGAGCAATCCTGGGACATAATCTCAACAGCACAATTCTTTTGGGGGAAGGTGACATGATCAGATGGTTTCATCATTTTAATAGATAAATAAATAATAATATTGAATAATAATATAATAATAATAATATTGAATTTTTAAAGAACAATTTAATTTAATTCCTGCTACAATTCCGTAAAACAGAAACAATTAAAAAATTGACGTTTATCATTTGCATTGGAAGTAGCTTTATTAGCTGCAGAATTAAACAGGCTCTGAAGGCAGTAAAGATCGGAGGAGGAGACACTGCTGTCATTTTGTATGTAATTGCCTTTCATTGAGACAAAGACCTGTGAGTGTTTGACTTCTCATAAATTTTATCAGATGTTTTAATGAAAATCTATGTGTTAAATTAGTGGCCTGCAAGTAGATTACAAGGAACATGGTCAAAGGAATGATGGCTGGGGAACTGTGAGAGAGGCTCCATGGGAAAATACAGAGGGCCTTTTACCTCAAGTGCATTTCATTTTCTGGATTGTTCTTGGGCATGATTTCATGCCTCCTGTGGCCAACAGTTGCATTTAATTTATAAGACATGTTCATTCTTGTTGGATGTCAGAACACAGCTGTAGAACCCAGTCTGGTCAGTGTACCCTGAATGTGGATACAGTCTTCTGCCCTGCCTTTGTGCTTCCCTAGATAAAATCTATAGTACATGCCAGGCAATTGTGTTAAAGCTGGTCTGTCCTGAAAAAGTTCTGGGACATGGCTGCTCTACCAATGTTTACTATGTGTTTACTGATGTCTGTTTACATGTTTTGCTGATCATGCCTTTCTGAACTCTAATAATCTTCCTTGGATCATTGCTTTCTTTGTTACATTCGTGTATAAAAGCACACTGAACTGAAATAAAGTTGTCCACAGCATTAGACTGTAGTCCACCCCATTCTTTCAGGTCCTCAGATCCCAGGTCCAGTGGACACACATCTGCACAGGTCGACAAATTCTGCTTTCAATGTACCCCAAAATTATCCCCCTGAATAACACTAAAGTATGTTATTTAGCTGTCTGTGTTTCCCTCATCTCCAGCCCTCAAAGCTAACAGCTTTCCTAATTCTGTTTTCAGTTACTACCCGAGTTAATTACCAGGGAAAGTCAAGGAGATAAGCAACGGTTTGTGGTGAGCCACGCCTTTGCTCGTCTGTGTCCAAGCCTGTGGTCTGTGACCCTAAGATGATCCGTTTCCTGGTTGGGGCACAGCACAAGAACTGAGGTAATACAGAACTCTCAGCGGAGGCAGAAAAGACGTGAGCCACACATTGCACCTCTGCCTGCTGTGAGTGGCAATGTTTGTATATCTCTGGAACGATGACTCACATACAATTAGTGATATTAAGGCCTAGTCGTTGCTCCCAGCACGTGATGTTCCAAATAGACCTGGCAGAGCAACAGGGATTGGAGAAAAGCAAACAGACTGCACCTTCAGTTACGTTTGTCTGTCGTTTCTAAATGGGCCTGCTTTTCACAGTATTTTATCCACTGCATCAAACTGTCATCGGTTTTCCAATTGTTCCCACAGGATCTAGAAGGCGCCTCAAGTCCCATCAGACACACTCAGGTAGTGAAGAAGCCGTCACCCCGGTCTGTCTGCACAAGACAGAATTCGTACCATCTTCCTTGACACAAACGAATTCCCAGGTGAGAAAGTATTTTCCTAGTCTGCCAAAGTTCTTTTAGTGAGAGTGGAAAGAGCAGCCCCTGTTCTGTCTCCTCCCGGAAATCAGCGAACTCCAGGAACCTTACCATTCAGTTCTACATCTGGAAGACTCACTGAACTATTTCTGTGCTCTCTGGGACTGCCACAGTGTTTGAAGTGACAGTAAAACCTGGGCAAAAACCCAGGAGCTCCCTAGAGCTAGGCTCCTGCTGAAGGATCCTGGCTGAGCTGCACACCTGCAGATCCCAGGCCAGAGGGCAGTGCTGGGGCTGATTTATCTGTGGTCTGGATCAGAGGATATTTATGTGAAACTGCCTTCTTTGAAAACAGGTGTCAGGAGCAACTTCCTTCTAATACATTCTGTCTTGAATTCTTGAATCGTAGGTAGATCATACAGAACACGTGTAAAGATTTTTAAAGGTCAAGAATTATCCAGCCTTGATATGAGGGTTTGTGCCTAGTCTTACTGTATCTTGTGACGTCATCTTCAGTGGATATTCCTGGGATGCCTGCTCTTTTCTGAAGGGAAACAGAGGAGGAGTGGATCTGGGGGAGAGGAGAGGAGGGGGGAATGGGAGGAGTGGAAGGAGGGGACACTGTGGCCAGAATGTGTTGAAAACAAAAAATAAAATAAAACATGTTAAATTGAAAAAAAAATTATCCCATGACAAAGCGTCAGTTCCACTTAAAGATGCTCAAAGCACAGATCTGGGTGGAGTTCTTGGGATGAACAATGGGAGTCATTCCCGCCAGGCTTTGTGCTAGTCATGTACAAGCGAAGAAGTGGAAACCATCATGAGTGATAAGAATAAGAGATTAATCATAAGATTCCTAAGTCACATGATTTTTAGAGTTTTGGGGGAGTCTGTGCAAATTTGTTTTTCCTGCGCGAGTTTACTGAGAAACATCTGGACTAACACCTGGGAGGAAGAGCTGAGTGATGACACACACTTCGCTGAACTGTGACTGTAAGGACGTAATGAGGACAGTCGCAGTCCACAAGGGCAAACGTCCTTCAATGGTTTTGGAGGATGACCTTGAGAAGCAGTTACCTGGCATCATTGTATATGTCTAAGACCAAGAGAAGCTAAAGGAGGAGGCATAGTGGGAGGTGGGGGAGGCTTCAATAGAAAGCTGACAGGCTAAGCCTGTAGCTGAGTGTACAGTATGCTCTTAGCATGCACAAGGCCTTGAGCTCAATCTCCATCTCTAGGGAATGAAAAGGGAAACAAAGGAGGTGATAAACTGATAGCCACATACATGAGCCATGGAGTACCTGGACTCCAGGTCAATCTGCAAAGCCAACTTGTGATGGCTGCTGCCCCTCACCTATCTTCTAATCTTGCACAGTTTCTCTCATGATCAGCCCAACACAGACCCATATAGGGGAGGTATTGCCAGGTGGTTGAGATGATGTAGATTTACCACAGTGCTCACTAGCGAACTTGGCATCCTCATGCACCTCTCTCAACAACACTTATAGTTTAAAAGAAGAAAACAGCAACACTGGTGGTTTGAAAGAAAATTGTCCCCAAAGGGAGTGGTACTCTTAGGATGTGTAGCCTTGTTGGGTGAAGTGTGTCACTGTGGAGTTGGGCTTTGAGGTTTCCTGTGCTCAGGATACCACCTAGTGAGTCAGTTGACTTCCTGTTGCCTTTGAGTCAAGATGTAGGCTCTCAGCTCCAGCACCATATCTGCCTGCACACCACCATGCTCCCCATCCTGACGATAATAGACTGAACCTCTGAAACTGTAAGTGAGTCACCTCAATTAAATGTTTTTATTTATAAGAGTTGCTGTGGTCATTGTGTCCCTTTACAGCAATAAAAAAAAAAACTAACTAAGACAATCAGGCTTCCTGCTTGCATCATGACCCTCCCCAAAGAGGACACGAAGTTCACCTCTGTGGATGATGCTTAGTCTTCTCCTAGCAAAGTAACATCTTTCTCTGATAGCCTGTGGCTTCGCTACTGAAATCTAGTAAGACGCAATATTAACTTCACTAGCACATCTTATGGGAAGACATATAGATAAGTGGAAGGCTAGGAAAGTATACTCAGTATGTACATAAATGTGCTTGCACTGAGTTGAATTCAAAAACAGTTTCATAATAATCACGGTCTTTGTTTCTGTGAATACTCACATGCCTGGAGCTGGATTTTACACATAGTATTCAGCATTTCCCAATCTTTTAACTGAAGCCCCCATACTCTCTCTTGCACTGAATTTTCTTTTCTTTTCTTTCTTTCTTTTTTTTTTCTAGAAGAGCATCCTTGATCAGGAGAAATGCTAAATAAAACATCATAGGTTTGATGAGGAGTTCTTCAAGCTGGCCACTGTGGTGTGATCAAACATTGTGGCAGACGTGAAGGAAAATCCAGTCTTCAGTGTTTGTTTAGGTGTGGACCTCCCTGAGTAAGTCCCCTCCTCCCTCCCCACAAAGCATACTTGTTAATAGCCAGTCCTTACATGTTCTGAGAAATGTCTTTGAGAAAGACTTATGAAGCAATGGAAGTCATTGGGAGAAAGCCTTCTAATAGATCTTAAAGAGAATAAATGAAACTTTCAATCTGCTTTCTATAAACAAATCTTTATTTGTTTTTTTTTTAAATTATAGCTGAGAAGGAAGAAAATGAGAGTGGAGAGATGGTTTGGCAGTTAAGAGCACCTGTTGCTCTTGCAGAAGACCCAGTTTGCTTCCCAGCACCAATATGCTAGCTCACAAACTTTCCTTAACTCCGGTCCCAGGGGATCCAATGCCCTCCCACAGCCTCTGTGGGCACCAGGCACCTCCATGGCACATGCAAACATGCAGGCAAACACTCAACATTCATACACATAAAATAAAACAAATCTTTAAAAAGACACTCATTCAATAAATGAAATCTATTACATAAAAAGGTGGAAACTGTGAGTACAACAAGAAGTGAAAAAAAAGTAGAAAGTCAAAGGAGAGTCTGGAAAACTGTATTTATAATACGTATTTCTGGAAGAAGACTCAAAAAACACAATGTATGAAAGGCTCGTTCAAATCAATAAAAATATTAAAACATGGCTACTTCAGAAATACAACTACCCAGTAAATAACAAGCATACATTGAGGCACTTACTATCATTACTCACTAGAGAAATGAAAACAAACCGCTGATTGGTCCTCTCTCCGGTACTCCCAACACCCGAGTGTATTATTGTAGTCATGAGGAAATGGTGCCAGGAGCTAAGAAAAAAATGATGACTTCTTCCAGTAAAAGAGCATCATGACTGGCTGCCTCTTTGATGGCGCCATAACTGGTTTTTAAAGGGACTTGGAGAAAAAGATTGCAAACCTAAATACAAATTGCACAAGGATCAGCAGGGTTTTATTATTATTATTATTATTCTTTTATATGATACATCAGGACCGAAGTTTCCCCTCTCTCCACTCCTCCCAGTCCCCCCACACCACCACCATCTACTCTCTCCCCCAGATCCACTTTTCTTCCTCCATTTTTTTTTTTTTTCAGAAAAGAGCAGCCCTCCCAGGGATATCAATCAAACACTGAATAAAAGTTACAATAACACTAGGCACAAGCCCTCATATCAGGGCCGGGCGAGGCAGCCCAGGATGAAAAGGGTCCCAAGTGCAGGTGAAAGAATCAGAGACAGCCCCCACTCCCACTGTTAGGAGTACCCCAAAACACCAAGCTAACAACCACAACATACATACAGAAGACCTAGCCCAGACCCATGCAAGCTCTGTGGTTGCCACTTCAGTCTCTGTGAACCCCTTGGAGCCCTGCTTCGTTGATTCTGGTGTGCTCCTGGTGTCCTCAACCCCTCTGGCTACTACAATTCTTCCTCCCACTCTTCTGCTGTGTTCCCTAAGATCCGAGGGGAGGGACGTGATGGAGATCTCCAATTTGGGCTTTCTCTCTTCCTGATGCGCTCGCTTCAACTGCTTGAGGAAGCCTTGCGGATGATGATTGAGCTAGGCACCGATCTATGAGTATAGTATATCATTAGGAATCATTTTTTCATTGATTTTTTTTCTATCCTAGGTCTCTGGGCTATCCAGCCTCCAGTTCCTGGTCAAATAGGCAGCATCAGGCAGGGGCTCCCTTTCATGGTGTGAGCCTCAAATTAGACCCATCGTCGTTTGGCCACTCCCACAAGCTCTGAGCCTCCAGTACCATAGCACATCTTGCAGGCAGGATAGATTGCAGGTCGAAGGTTTTGTGGCTGGGTTGGTAGCCTGGCCACCACTTGAAGTTGCCTGGTTACAGAAGATGGCCTGTTCAGGTTCAGTATCCTCCATTACTAGGAGTCCTCGCTAGGGTCACCCTCTTGAGTCCTGGGAGTTTCTCCTGTCTAGGTTTCCACGTTGCCCCCTAAATACCCCCGCCAGTTCCGGTTATACTGTCCTCCTCATACTGTCCCTCCCCCACCCACAACCTGATCCCTCCTGTTCCCATTCCCACCCGTCCCAGTCCACCAGCAGAATCTGTTCTATTTCCCCTTCTCAAGAAAATATCCACCGTGTGCTCCTTAGAGCCCTCCGCGTTCCTTAGCCGTTCTGAGTCTGTGGATCGTAGCATAACTACCATTTCCGTAACAGCTAATACCCATGTATAAGTGAGTACATACCATGTTGTCTTTCTGGGTCTGAGTTAAGGATAAACAGATTTTTTAAAAACAGATTTTTAAAAAACTTATGAGGTTACCTGCTGACAGAGCCGAGTGTCTGAGGCATCGCTCCTGCGTTCTGGTGCTGCAAAGTATCAGGAGCCTGAGGGACAGGCTAAAGAGCGCGGGTCCCCATCAGGGCTTCTGTTCATTGCTTCCGTACAATTTTGCTCCAACATGAGAGTTTTATCTGTTTTCCATCTGTGGGAATCGGGCTATGGCAAACTCCAGGCTAGGGGAAAGGAAGGAAGTAGGTCTTTACTGAAGCACAATCAACCTGACATCCAGCTGAAGTCCTTTGCGATTTTACGCTGGCTTTGCTGCCCTCTAGTGTTCATAGGTTAAACTGTTTCGAAGCCTGGTGTAATAGGCGCTGTCTTTGGGGAAACCGCAGCTTCCTGGGACCAGAATGCCAGAAGGCTCAGATGGACTGGCTGACTGATGACATAGTGCCTTGTTACATGGGTGAGTGGGGGTGGGAAATAGTGGTGTGTCTTGTAAATAAGACTTGGCATGATTACACAAGGCAGAAAAGATTGTTTGAGCTTTTTGTTTGTTTTTATCTCCCACACGTACTTCTTCCCTGACTCTCTCCCTCCTCACCTCTTCTCTGTTGATAACTTAATTTATATCTATTGTTCTTCCCTTTTTGTATTGTAAAAATATCCCAATAAATGGAAGCAAGAGTAGCTGACAGAGAAAAATAAGTAACTGTAGGGAGCATTGTATAATACCCAGATTGTAACAGGTGCCCAGATTTTAGCAGGCCCCAGATCTTAGCACAACTACCTCCATGATGGAAGTACCAGTCAAGCCATAAGAGGCAGCATACAGACAGTAACTGCTGCCAAAATGAAAACAAAGACCTAATCCATCCAAGTCCATAGTTCTGGGAAAGTCTCTAAATGTACTAACCTTGCCTTTTGGTTTCTGCAGTTCTGCTTCTGGCTAACTGTTCTTGTTAACTGAAATATGCCAACCCAGGTAATGGCTTTTGTGCTCAAAAGCTCACCCTGAGAAAGGCTTAGGGCTACTGTGGGATCACAAACACCCAACATACTTGCTGGCAACTAATAAAGATTTTTCTATTGGCTTAAACCCGTGTCCCCCACAACAACTTGGTATGCAATATTATACTCACATGGTAGAAACAGGAAGGTGAGAATTCCAGAACACACCACAATTACTCTCAAAACTTATTGATGCAATCAGAGGTACAGGGAAGCCCTTTCCACCAGACAGGATGGATGAAATGAAGAAGCAAGACAAACTGATAAGTCAGTTTGGAGAAACAAAGACAGCTCTGTGCATATGAGGGCTACCCAGCCTATAGCTACAGGAACCTGTTTCTGCTAGGTAGCATAGCGTCCCCAAGTACCTGTTTCCTGTCCCCAAACCTTGCCCTAAAACTTCTGGTGCAGCTTCTCTCCACAATACTGGGAGGAAGAGAGAGCTGAAGTCTCACATTATCTGCGTAGAATCAGTGTAACTGTCTTTCATGGCAGTGGGAACGTATGCAGAGATTCAGTCAGACTCAGAAAAGGTTAACAGCTGCATTCCCCAAACCTTGGCTATTAGTTTTTCTTCTACACAGACAAGGAATTTCAGTTACCCCCAAATCAATGTATTTGAAGAAATTGTGACACACATATTTTTTAAATAAAGGCTACATGGTAGTGGTTTACCAGCAGCTTAAGATCTTAATCCAATGCTGCTATGAAAGATTGGGGAATTGGGCATTTTAAAACATGTGTTCAAAGTAGAAAAATGTACCAGCATCTTTCTGAAAAGCCACCTCTGCAAAACTCATCTTCATCAATGTTGTGCAGCCCCAACTGATGAAATGACCATCCATGAATTAGTTACCTTTAAAGAAACCATGGAGAATAATTCTCTTTGTAAATAAGGGGCTTAGAAGAAACTGGGAAGTGACCCAGGAAGAGGTTCACATGTAATCTTTATTCCTCAGGCTGCAGCTGTATTCCCTAAGCCCACTTAATGGTGATGGTACAAGTTTGGATGTTTATACTAACTGGTCTGGACACGGAAAAGAGATGTTAAGCCATAAATTTTAAGAAGCTGTAAGATGTTTGCTGATTTGCTCAATTATGTGACACTTCAGAACTTACAAAGTTTTTGCCCTTAAAATTAGAACATAAACACAGATTCACTATAGAGATCAAATAACACAGTGGGAGAGTTTTTCCATAGCAGAATGGACAAGTCAAAGTTTTATACCATTTTCATGAAATTGTTTTTCGCCTTAGTAATTGTGCTGGATAGTTTTATGTCAACTTGACATGAGCTAGGATCATCTGAGAGGAGGGAACTTCAACTTTAAAAACATGCCTCCATAAGATTAGGCTGTAGACAAGCCTGCAGGGCATTTTCTTAATTAGCAATTGATAGGGTAAGACCCAGCCCATTGTGGGTGGTGCCATCCCTGGGCTGGTGGTCCTGAGTTCTATAAGAAAGCAGGCTGAGCAAGACAGGAGGAACAAGCCAGTAAGCAACACTCCTCCATGGCCTCTGCATCAGCTCCTGCCTCCAGGTTCCTGCTTTTGAGTTTGAGTTCCTATTCTGGCTTCCTTCATTGATGTACTACAATTAAACCCTTTTCTCCCCAACTTGCTTTTTTTGGTCATGGTGTTTCATTGCAGCAATAGTAACTCTAAGACAGCTTGGTACCAGGATTATGGAGCATTGCTGTGATAGACCTGACCATGTTGTTTTGAGAAGGATTATGAAAGGACTTTGGAACTTTGTTCAAGAAAAGCCACTGGGTGCTCATTGTTTGGTGAGCTGTTCTGTAGGAGCTCGGGAGATAAGAATATTGAGAGCAGCAT